ACCCCGTTGGCTGGCCGCTCACATTGCAATTTAAACAAGAGTAAGAACTCTCAGGAGGTTGTGGCTGTTTTAAAAGGCAACCGGGACTACATTGTGCGTATGCCCCATTTCTGATACTGTGGCGGCAGAAATTTAACAGTGGCGGGCCGCCGCTCCAAAATCCACGTAGAGGAAACACTGGCCATTAGCAGAGCAAACCCACCTTCAGGTGCACATCCACATTAAGTTCTGTGACATGTAGTCATAAAGAAATTAAACCTTGAATGTGTTCCACTTTGTGAATCATCTGATGCCCAAATTGTCAGCTGCTCCACCATCTTGTCTTTGCTAAAGCCAATCCTGAGTCCCACTTTCTACCTCATCTAATTTCTCCCCTATCATCACCTTACCACTGTGCTGTTGACACACAGCTACAGAAATGTGGGTCAGCAGTACTCTCTGGGGTCTGGTTCAAGAAGCCGAAGAGTCACAAAGAGTTGCCTCCAACCTCCCTTAAGGATGTTCCTAAACAGCAGCGACGTAGTAAAGAGGCTGACCGCATTTTGTGCATTCTCTGTGCAGGTGACCGTTATGTGGTGGTGGACTGTGGCGGAGGAACAGTGGACCTGACTGTCCATCAGATCCGTCTTCCAGAGGGACATCTAAAGGAGCTCTACAAGGCCTCAGGTAAAAGGACACAAAACACTCTTTCCCTACTTTATGCAGCTGAGGTTTCATCTTACTTCAATTTGCAATCATAATACCCTCTTTTCCCAGGCGGTCCCTATGGCTCTCTTGGGATTGACTTTGAATTTGAGAAGCTGCTTTGTAAGATCTTTGGCCAGGATTTCATCGACCAATTTAAGATCAAGAGGCCTGCCGCCTGGGTCGACCTGATGATTGCATTTGAGTCTCGGAAGAGGGCAGCAGCCCCTGACAGAACCAACCCCCTCAATATTAACCTTCCCTTCTCCTTTATCGACTACTACAAGAAGTTCAGGGGCCACAGCGTGGAGCATGCCCTTCGCAAAAGCAAGTGAGTACATGCAGAAAACCCTCTGAAACTGACAGTTCTGAACAGGAATAAATATGTATAAAATAAAACGGGATTAGGTTATCTTTCAAAACTTCATTATTTTATTTTCAACATCAAGCTGTTTTATTTGGATCTTAAAGACCTGCAGCAGAGACAAACATTCAGTTTCTTGTATATCTATTTATCATCATATAAATATAGATACAGAATAAGAAATGGTAACCAAAAATTTTGGAAAAGAGACCAAGGAACTGTTCGATTAATATGAAGACAACTGTTCCTGTTGCCGTAGGTGACTTTGCATAGCACATTAACAGCAATTGGTCAGCACAGTTTTAAATTTTAATGCTTGAAATTTAAAGACAGTTCGATAGTAGTAAAAAAAAAAAAAAAAGTTCAATGTTTTAGGAAATATTTTATTTTTTTCTGAAAGCGAGATGAGAAAAATGTATATCAATCTCATGCATGTGCTTTAAGTACTGAGCTGTTGTCAGGAGGTGGTTAGCCTAGCTTAGCATAAAGACTGGAAGCAGGGGGAAACAGCTAGCCTGGCTTTGTCCAATAACATGTTGTATCTAATTTGTTAAATCTGTACACAAACAAATGTAAAAACTACATGCTGGAACTATTTCTTGGCAAACCGCAGAGCATGGCAAACTACAATGCACTTCTGTGCAGCATCTCCAGCTGTAGTGCAGTATGCAAGATATGTTCTGTGAGCACAGGTTGTAGTAAAGTCCTCTTTATAGGCAGGCAAACAAGTGTCTCTCTTGTTTAATCTGTACGGTAAATAACTGTAAAAGTTCTGTAAATAACATGCTATCTACAGGCAAAGAAGTATCTTACTTGTATAATCTGTACGGTAAATAACTGGAAATGTTCTGTAAATAACATCATGTTATTTAATGAGCTTATTGGTGTTGGTTGGGTTTTTTTCAGTTCAGACGGAGTCAGGCTAGCTATTTTCTCCTGCTTTCAGTCTCTAAAAAGCTAAGCAAACCACTTCCTGACTCCTGCTCTGTGCTTAACACACAGACATAAGATTGATAAACGTATTTGCCAAAATCCTCAACTGACAAGTGTGCAAAGGTAGACCCAAATGCTTTAGTTCACAAGTAGTATAGAGTCCAGAGGATGGCAGTGAAGAGTGTAGACAAGCAGGTGCTGATTAGTGATCAGGTAACAGTATATTAGAAGCAAGCAATGGCCCAAAACAAAGTAGACAGTCTGGCAGGAAATAAATGGAAATTAGCTGGTTATGTGCTGCAAGCCTGGTGAGGTAGATTTGAACCAGCTGAGCAGGTTTATGGGGCAGTCAGGTGATTGGTGTACAGGTGTAAACATCTGAGGGCATCTGGTTTGTGGATGGATGGATAACAACACAAGGGCCTATGGAAGTGTGAGTGTAGCTGAAGGGTAGGACGGAGAGGCAGAATGGGTAAAAACAGGACTGAGACAGACATTGACTACGATCACATGCACACTAATTTTCCACTATTATTCCAAATATGACAGTATTCCTCATTTCATGACGGCCATGTAAACAGCATATTGTGTTTAGATATTCCTACTGAATTTCAGTTCCCAACCCAAGAGGTGATATTGTTTTTAGTAATAATTATAGAAAACAAAGTTGAAAGGAAGTTGTAAACTTGTTTCAAACTTAACTTATAAGCTTATAAAAAGTATGTAAATGTAAATACTGCAATTTTGATCAAGTAGAGTGTATCAAAGTCGATCCCTGTGATTAAAAAAAACAGCTCCAGGGTGCCAGAGTTGGTGGAGGGATGGATTGAAAAAGCAATGCTGATGGAGGCCCAGCACCACTTACAATGAAACAGATTTCTTTCTTTGATAAAAGACGGCATTAATTAATGGTGATATAACTTTTCACTTCCAGCCATTACAGTACAATAACGACTTCTGGGACCACCATGGAGTCTAGATTTTAATGGCCCTGTCTCATGTCTGTGTGGAGTTTTGAAATCCCACAGTGAGGGACATTAAATATATGTATGTGGCTGAAACTAAAGTCCTCAGTGGCCTCCAGGCTCCTCTGATGCCTAACTGGAATCACTCTCTGTCTCAGTGTGCTGGAAAGCATTGGGAGGGACCAGCATTAACACGATCACACACTTGTGTACACATTACACACTTACATGTGCACATACTGCACATAAATCACACACATGCGATCAAAGCAAATGGATACTATAGATTCTTTCAAGATTTATGATCCGACAGACAGACTGCATCAGGCGGCAGAGGGAGATATCCCTGTAGGTCTCAGGAGACAGGTCTGAAGGGAAATGGCCAACAAAAAATCAATGACTATGGTCTATACAGAGCATGGCTGTCACTGGTCTCTGCCTCAGGTTTTCAAGCTGGGGAACACTGGCTAATCTGAAAATACCACATTTCACTACAAATGTGCACCAAAACCAGGCTGCATAGATTGCTTTAGTGGCAATGTCCAAGTATAAATCTGTAGTCTGGTTGTGCAAGCCTATTCCATACACATGTTCCAAGCACTGTGTTCAGTGTAGTGAATCAGTTCATTTCATGCGATATGGAGAGGAAGAGGGTGGTTTATCAATCCCTCAAAGTAGGAGTGAAATTTTAGTTAAAGCTGCACTTAACTTTTATATTGATATGTTGAGCGTCTTTCAGAGAAATTGTTGCATTTTCTAGTCCACAATCTCCACTCTAATCAGCATCTTTTCCAGCAGAGGCAGCTCTGATAAAACTACTGTACACTATTTGTCCAAACAGCAAACAGACAGTTAAGAGACTAGCTGGTAAATGTTGGTGGAGACCAAAAAATAACTAAGAGAGTGAAGGTTGGACTCATTTTCATTGAGTGGAGACTAACTACCTGCTTCCATATAACAACATGATAAGGTAATATGTCAGTGCAGCTCTTTCTCTGCCCACAAAATAATAAACATTTTGTTTTGTTTGTCTGTTCACATTGTTCGTTAAATGTGGCCTATATCAGATTTTAGTGTAAACAGGCCACGGTCCTAAAGTGACGTAAATGTCAGAGGAATTCTAATGTCACTGTTCACACTGAGGTCACACTGCAAAACATCAGCCCTATATTTGGACCAGAAATGAAAGTGGCCCAAATCAGATCTGACAGAACAGTTCAGCTTCCATGTGATTTGTGATGTTCACTGTCATGAAAACATCAGGTCCATGTCACATTATGAGCAATAATAAGATCAGATTTGGGTGACTTTAGCCTGCAGTGTGAATGTGGATTTGGTGGAAAATAGGCCGAGCTGTCTTTGGTAGGGTGGAACACATCCATTTAATCCAGTTTTGCTCAATTCATGGATGCATATGGTAACAAAATTATGTTTTTTGATCCCATAGACACTCAACAAACGAGCCAAGATAGCCCAATATTGCTGTTAGACATAACTTCAGACTACATAAATACAGAAAAAAAGGTCTGCCCTAAGGAATTTATTAGTCTCTGATTCTGGGTAAACCAATCAGATTCTCCAAAACTGCTTTATCTCTGGACTATCTCTTTAACCAAAGCACACACGTTTAGCCTATCCTGCATATGACTTATTTTCTCTCCTCTCTTCCTCTCCTCTCCTTTACAGTGTGGATTTTGTGAAATGGTCATCTCAGGGGATGCTGAGGATGAGTCCAGATGCTATGAATTCCCTCTTCAAGCCCACCATAGACCATATCATCCAACATCTCAGTAAGCTACATTAATAACTTAATAACTAACACCTCAACACACACACACACACACACACACACACTGTGAAGAGAAATGGAAGCAACCTAAAACCAGGTGTTTTTTTGATAAAGTTATTTATTTCAAGGCTAGGATAGCTTCCAAGCAGAAATAAGTAAGGTAAAACCACAAAGGAAAACAGCAGGTGGATGCTGTTCAAACCAAAGAAAAAAATACCATAGAAATCAATCTAAGAACTGCAGATAACTTCCTAAAAGAAATTAAAAATGGAAAGAAAAGTCTCACTAACTAACTCTGCTTAATAAAAAACGAGAATTATTTAAAACAACACCCCTAAATCTAGTGACTCTAAATAAAGTAATTCTGTGAGTGTACTCAGTTTTTAAATCTATACCAAGTCCAGTCCCCGGGTAGTTAACGAGTTCCTCAGTACTAGTTTCACCAAGTTAATACAAGATTAAAGGGGAACTTGGCAACTTTTTCAGCTTAATAAACCCGTTTAGAAATCATTTGGATGGTTAAAGGGCCTGTT